TTTAGAGCATATCATATTTTCATCTTCATGCCACATATGTCACAGATAAATGATTTTAACAATACAAAAGAGAATTTTGCCATGTATTTTAGTATGCATTCTTTTTGCCTGTGAAACCTCATACTTCTGTACAGTAAGATCAGCTATGCTGAGTGAATTATCCTTGTAAATAGGAAAAAGAGCTTTATAAAGCTCTCTAAAATTAGGTATAAGATCAGCTTGTCTCTTGTAAAAATGTCAGAGTTTCAAGTGCCAGTTTCTCACAGATCTACAAGGTCAGAAAAGGATGTAAAGTCATACACAGGAGCTGGAATCAGCTCTTGCAAATATTGTCATGTGAAGCCATACTTGCTCTCCCTGAAGGACTATTCATTATTGAACTTCGCAGCTGTGGTGGTTTTAGGAATAGGAAGGATGCTGCAGATGGAGAAGCGAAAGCTTCTTACAGCCTTTGTGCAGAAGAAAGTTTAAGGAAGGAAATACATGCTTTGGCAGTTGCCATTTTGGTGAGTTTTTAAAGTATTTTAAAGCTGAATCCCTGGCTTAGACTGTTAAGTGCATCCAGGTAATGAGGACAGGGCAGAAGAAAATAATATCTAGTCTGAGCTGTAAGTGGTTGGCAGTACCCACATGCTGAGCTGATGTATCCACAGATTTAAATTCTTTTCAACAAACTTATTCCATAGCTCATATATGTTTCAAATATACTTTATTAAAATTGCTGTCCAGAAAAAAAACTATTTTAAAAACATCCTTTTTTTGTGAAAGTATATCTCAGAATTAAAACTGCTCAGACAGTGAGATTACACACTGCTTTGTCTGTACATTGTAATGTGTTTATTTATAGGAACATGATTTTTAAAAACACACACAACAAACAGCATTGTATTCTCCAGGCAAATGCATAAGATGGGCTAAAATCTCCATTTGTCTGTGCTGTGCATGCTCATTTAGATTATGGTAAAGTGGGTATGAAACACTACTGGAACACAAGGCAAATGATGTATGCCTCTTTGCAATGAGATAAACGATTATATGTGGTATTAGAGCCATAATTTTATGCTTGTTAGTCATCCAGTTTTGATTAAGGGAGCATTTGTTTTAAGAATAAGTCTGCACTGGCATTCCCATTTTCCCTTTCTACAGCAAGATATATCTTAAAGAGCAGGACAAAAAACAATTTAAGAACAGGACAATTGGGGGTGATGTGGTGAATCAGCACAGCACAGAAAGGAACCAGTAGAACAGGTACCAAATTGAACTCTTGGTTACTGGCTTCAAAGGTAATTTGGGTTTAAAGGTACTAGGGTCCTTGAGGTAAACACTGTGAATTTCAACATTCCTCATAAAATGTTAAAGTTGACACAGAATGTTTGCCTTCCAAACATCAAAACCTTTTCAGATTAATTCCACAATTGTACATATTGTGGGATTTTTGATAGTTCCAGAAGATTTCAACAATTGCATACAAGATTGATACTCTTGAACCAAGTCAAAATCAAATGAAGGAAAAGAGAGAGCTTTTAGCCAGGATCATACAAGAAAGAGATTTAAAAATGTACTGCCGTCTCCTAAATTTCTCTTGCACAAGTCTTATGAGTAAAATCCAGAATTTTTTTTCCCTTTCTAGATAACTGAGTTGATGTAACACAGAGGAGTTATTACCCCTTCTGACATATAAGATGGGTAACTCAGAGCCAGAAGGAAGTATTTCTTAGATAAACCATGAGTAGAGGAGGGTGAACATGAGTGCCATATTCATTGCTATTTGGATTCAGGAAAATCCTGCCTGATAAAAAATATATGGAGGAGGTGTGTCTTCTCTGAAGCCTGGAACTGAGTATGTATTCACTTCTCTTAAAATGGAATAATTGATTCCTAGTGCTATCTGTCCATAAGCTTGTATGTGCACCAGAAAGGAAAAAAAAGGCATCTTTAAGTACATCTGAATTTAAAACTTTGGTTCAAACATACTGGGAATGAAGGGTTTTGAAATACAAGTTATAAGCTAAGATTTCTTTATATTGTATCTTCAGCAATCCACTTGTTTCTGTTACATACGGGCCAGCTAAGTGGGGTGCAAAGTTCTTATCAAAGAATTCACAAAGGAAATAATCTGACATAATTCAGGTATTTCAAATGACTTGTCATTTGAAGAGTGGTGCAATCATTTGCAATGTAGGTGTAAAGGCTTTAAGTTCCCAGTTCATGTGTCAGTCACAGTGGAAGTGTGTCCCCACGGGCAGGGGGATGAGCCCTAGGTCCCAGGATCTGCACTGGAGAGCCTGTCTGGAGAGTGAGCTCAGAGCTGGCTGGGGCAGCTTCTGCAAGCAAGACTTAAGCCTTTGACACCAGAGTCACTGCTAGGAAGAGGTGACTGCTGTTGAAGGGAGCACGATTCCATGACATCTACTTAATGCACACAGGTTGCTGGGAAATTTATGACACCAGAGTTTTCAGTCCTGGCAGAGTGACTTAATGTATATTTAAACCTACAATAGCCAGGACATATTTCATATCCTGGTTTTCTTTTTCCTCTAGATATTGCCACTGTTTCAGTGAGCCCGCAGGGCACATTTTCCTGAAAGACAGATACGCTTTTTCATGTAACACCCCATTAAGTAAAGCCCTTTAGCAAGGACAAAGAGTCTCTGAAGATCCTTTTCTGGCATAGGGTGTTTACAGAATGAAACACAAAGCTGGTTGTTTCTCTGAAAAAGAAAAAAATTCCAAAGTTCCTGGTTAATCTGCTGACTGCCCTGAAACATTCTGTTTGTTTTGGTTTGGTATTTCACAAGAAGGCTTCTGATGCTTTTTCTTTAGCCTCTTGCTGATGGCTTTGTCAATATCTTTCAAGCATTTGTTATTGTGCCAAGTATTCATACTTCAGATATATGTAAATGACAAAGATGTTGGAAAAGAAAATGGCTGCTATATATGTGCAAGGCTCTGAGAGCTTCAAAATTAGTGAGTTGCAGTGTAGAATAGTTATATTGTGATGGATTTCTCTTCCAGCTGTAGAAAGCAGGGGAAATATGCACACAGTGGAGTGTGCACACGACAGTGTGGTTTGTCAGGTAACCCTTCTCTACAGTGTGGCAATTTGGGGTCAAAAGTAGCACCTTGGTGCAGTGGAGTGATTTCAAGAGCCTTGTCTCTCTTTGACTTGCATATGTGGCTTAGTAAAGAGCAGCAGAAGCAGTAGAAAATGTAAATAAAGTGTGACTGACAGTTTCAATGTATTGCTTGGCTGCAGAGCTATTTGAAACAAATTGTACAATATGGAGCTGGTGGCCGTGGGATTGGTGTCTTCCTGATGGACATGTTCCATGCTCTTAGCTTCAGATCAGCTTTGAACAGCTTTTTTCAAATTTTTCTCTGCCTGCCAAATTGTTCCTCCTATCAGCCGTTCACAACTTCAGTAGAATTTATTTCTTTCCACCTACCATGCACAGGAAATTTGACTTAGAAAGATGAGATGCAAATGTTATGCAGGGTTGACCTTTCATTTACAGGGTAACTAATTAGCTTGACAAGTAACACATTTAGTAAAATATGTATATGTCATTAGATAATCCAGCCTACCTCTTTACGGTGACTTCCTAAAATACATATTACTATTGCTGCAATTAACTGCAGGCTTGCTGTTGACTTCAGTAAGAGCAGGACTACAGACTTGTTATAAATGCAAAGTAACTTAATGTACAGTCTCTGATCTGGCAACCTCATAGTTGCTTCTTAGTTGTGCTTTATCACCACAATGTACTGCTGACTGAGTACCTTTTCCAGTTCTGCTTATCTTTGCTGTAAGACAAATGGCATTTAATATGAAAGACATTAAAATGGAAATATTTTAAAATAAATTTTGGAGAAAGATAGAATTTCTGAGGTAGACTAAACACAGGACAGGGTGCACCTGGGCAACTGGCTGGACAGATTCCTTTAACTAAACTATAGGATGGTATTTATGCATATGTGCGGTGCTGATATCTGTGCAGGAGGTGTAATTTATATTATTATTTCAGTGCAACTAAGCAAAGAAAGACATGGTCATGTTCATTTTTACCATGGGTGACAAGCTGGTGGCCTTCAAAGGGTCTGAAGAGAGGTAGTTGTGCCCTCCATTGAAGGAAGGGGACAGAATTAGTTATGTGGACACAAGAGATTGAAACAAATGGCCAAGAATTTGACCCAGGTCTTCCAGGCCAGCAGAAACAAGCTGGTCATGTCAAAAATCTAAAGCCCGCTTCTGATTGCCTTTGGGAGTCATTTATTGCCTTGAACAGATGTTCTCAACCACAGTTAACCTTGAATCCTGCATGGTTTGGGTCTGATGTAGGATGATTAGCATTCCCTAGCTCTGGACTGCAGTGTCTGGTTTTTGGTGCCACCTCACAGTATGGCGTGGCAACAGAGATAAATGGTGGCCTGCTGCAAATGGTATGAGGTGATGCTTTGCAATTCTAATGAACCCATCCTGTGCTCTTCAGTGTCCTTTAAACCTTGACAATTAGGAAGAGTAAAGAAGGGGAAAAGTCTTACTAGAAGGGAGGCAACAGGGAAGCAGAGCCTGTGAATGCCTACAACAAAGAGGAATTTAATTTCATACTGATACTTTTAATTTTCATGTTCCCTTTTCAGATATATTTTGGAAGATGCTTATGGTTTTATAATAAAATATATCTGTTAACTGCTTCACTGTTTTATATGCTTTTTATTTTAATCTGGCCCTGAGCCTGATGTTTCCATTAACTCATCTGCCTTGTCCTTCTTTATTTATATTCTTCCTTGTCAATTTTTTGCCTCTTTGCCTTTAATGAAGTAGAGGTGGCAGTTTTACAGATGGGAAACTAAATCACAGAGAAACTACGTGACTTTTTACATGACCTATGCACAGAAAATTAATAATCACTCTTATTGACAGGTGCAGGCACTACATGTAAGTACTACAAATAGTTCAGCTATTTTGGCTGTGTTGATCTGGGGAAAGTTCAGATTTTATGAGAGAATGTGTGAAACATTAGTGCAAATTTTGTTTTCTTTTCTTTACAGTTTTGCTCATGGTACATACATTCAATGAAGGTTTTATATACCTCTGGGTCCTCTCCTGGCCACCACTGGGTTAGATTTCTCTCCTCTACTAAAGTGCTATTGTAATGCTGCATTGGTTTTGGCTTTTGACATGGTCACCTGGTAGAACTATATCATGAAGCTCTCTTTATCCTCCCTACTTGCTTTCCTTTTCCTCCATGTTATCTTTCTTTCATTGCTCATAGGCTTTTCTCATGTTCTTCCTTTCTCCTTTCTTTTTAGCAATGTCTCCTGTTTGAAGTTTAGAGCAAGTCTTCCCTCTCTGCTGAAGCATTTCACTGCTGTCTGCTATTCACTGTTTTATCCCCTCCTAGGAGCAGATGCCAGCCTGTGCTGACATCATCCCCCAAAAGATTGCATTGCTAATTGCTATTACAGAGAACTTGTTTGTTTGTTTGGTTGGTTGGTTGGTTTTCATTCTGCTTTTGCTTTCTATTTTGTCCTTTCTGCATTGGGCAGATCGTTCTCGGTGAGCTCAGCAAGGTCACTGGAGTCATTGGCAAGCTTGTACAGAAGGGTGTCCTAAATGATCCATTTGAGGCATGCAAACAAATCTGTGATGCCTATTGACAACTCCCAAGATATTTTAAATACCAGCACTTTAGCTTTCAGCTAAAGTGCTGGTATTTAGTTATTATTGTTAATTATCAGAAGAAGACTGCTTACCATATTTTACTTATGTAACTGCACCAGGCCTTACATGCATACAGAAGTCATCTGTGGGTAAATTGTAACTTTACTTAGCAGCATAAGGGGTCAGGAACTGGCTAAGACAATTTTAAATCAGGTTGCATGTAGGGGTGTTATTGCTGAATTTTTAAAAGTGATGATGTCTGAAAGCCTTGTTAGCAAATATCTTTGAGAAGTGAGGAGGATGTTGAGATGCCATGAGGTGAAAGAAAGGCAAATATCTTTCAAGATACATGAAGAAGGGGAGCAAGGACAATACAGACCTGTCAGCTTCTTCAAAAGCCAGATGAATGATAATTGATGCTGGAGGCAAAAATCTTATTTTGTTTGGATGTAAAAGGTTTTTTTACCAAGTGTGAGTTAAAAGTTAGTAGATAAAGTCTGGCTGAGATATAGTTCTTCTCAGAAATATCTTGTGGCTCTGAATGATAGAAATATCTTGGAACACCAAGAGAGGGTACAAATGATACAGAACAGACCAGAACCTTCAGCCACAACCTTTTTCTTTTTCCAGAGGAAAAAAAAACTTTCCTTTACTCATATGTTCATTGCAATACCTGGCATTTAGGTGTGCAATTACAACATTTTTTCATGTACCAAGGTGTTTAAACTAAAATTTAGCCCAGGTTCTTGGAGGTGAGACTTTAGCGATCAGCAAATGTACCGCTTTGCAGATGTGGCTAATTGTGTGACCCATGACTAAAGCACCATTTTGAGAGTGTGAATTGATTTCATAGATATTTTCTCATTTTGCCTCATAAAAGGCAGAAATGAAAGAAGCATCCTTGGGCCTATGAGAGCCACAGAAGAGTCTGTAATATGTCATCACCACTGGACAAATTTGTTCTCAGCCCAGCCTACAAACCTTAGTCTGATAGTATCCAAATACTGGCATCTTTCCCTTTTGTCTATCCATAGCCAAAGGCCCCCATCAGTGAACTAATCCTACCAGAGCAAACACTCCTGTTAGAATGGAAAAGAGCTAAAATTTTTGTCTTACACCTCTGCTACAGGTCAAGTAAATCACCCTGAATTTTCAGTACAATGACTGTGACAGCTGAGAAAAGCAATTCATTAAAGACAATTGCATTTTACCAAAGAACTGTTATCCAAAATAAAACAAAGGGTTCACTGCAGAAAGAAAGGAACCTAAAATAGTGTTGGAATAGATTGTCCTTTCCAGATCAAATGCTAGTATTATTTTCAGCTCTGCTTTTGGTAAGTCTGCAGTACTCTGGCTAAGCACCACCACTGGCCAGGTACCCATCTCATCCTCTGCAGCACCGAGGGGGAAGATGGTTCAGCAGAAACTTCTTACCCATGGGGCAGATGTAGTGCCTGAGGCCTTGATACTGCTTCTGCAAAGAGAGAAGGAGCTAGAGACATATTCAGCCCTACCAACTTTAAATGTTCACATTTTGCAACATCTGCAGAGCAGGAAAAGAGGCAGATTAAGAATTCTTGACTAGGAATCCCAAGGTCATGCAACACTATACTGTTTATTAACCTGTGGAGGTGATGAAGATACAGACTGATTCTTGTGACATATTTATTATATTTGATGAGCTTTTTAAAAGAGTGAGAGAGAGTAGATTTAGTTATCTAGGCTAAATATATGGGAACATATACAATGGATTATGCATTTATGCATTTAGTTGTTTCTAGACCAAGAATTTTATGAAGTGATGGCAGTTGAGAATCTCTGCTCGATTGCAAAATATTTATATGCAGAATTTGGGTACCGGAGGAAATGACACCACACTTAAGTTCCAGAGTTCCTTTACACATGCATATAACAGCCTGACACACTGTGTACAATACACGACACATTGTGTACCAATCTCTTCCAAGTAGACTCTGCTCCACAAAATATGCAGAATGCCATCACTGGAAAAGGAAGGGTGGCCACTGCATTTTAGGTATAACCTTTTCTTCCCTGCTCCTATATGGATAGGGGGTCTGGTCATGGTATAATTAACTTGCTTTTTCTTGCTTCTTGGCTAAAATATCTGGATTCCTTTGGATAGTCATTTGATGAATCTATTAATAACTTTTCCACTGCCTTTTTGAAGTAATTTGGCTAATGTGCAGAGCTGAACTTACAGCCAAGTCTGAAAGGCTTTTTTCCCCATTTAGAAATTGCAACTGTTCCTTATGTGCAGCAATAGTTTTCCCTTTGAAGAGGGTAAGATGGCTCTATTAGAAGAGCTTATGGTTTTTGGATATGTCTCTTGGGTACTTTTACACAGAAAATGATCGCATTGAAGTACTTATGAAAGGGAAACCCTTTTACTTGTTTTGAAGCTGGCATGGTGCACATCAGGTAGGTCTGGATGCCTGTGCTTAGTGTGCCTTTGCAGTGCCCTCAGTAGAACAGGACAGCTTTGAGCACCATTAGAGGTATCCCTGCCTCCTTGTTATGGTTGTACCAACTTTGATCCTCAGCCTGGGAAGATGAAAAACCAGTCAATGTCAACAACTGCAGTGGCTTTTTGTTAATTGTCAGACTGGATCAAAGAGAGAAGCATTTTTTGTTGGGATTGCATCAGGACAGTGCCTCGTTCAAGGGGGATGGAGGCAGGCTGGGCATGTAAGGGACAGCTTTGCCCCAGGCTGCTGTGGCTTTCTGTGGCAACTTGGTGGCATAATCAGGCTGTTAAAGTAGGTGCTGGGGAAGAGCCAGTGGCATTAAGGCAGCAGGCAAGAGGCTGCATGCAGCATCCAGGTCAAGCTGACATTTCTCTCTGGTCTGCAAGACAGCCAGCCTTGGTCCTGTCAGGCAGGGTGCATGTACAGCTGCCTGTGGGGGGAAGGGTTGTCTAAGAAACAGCAAGGCTGGTGATTGGAATATTTCCCCATAAATATTCTTCCAGCATAAATGATTGTGATGAAATCATAAAAGTAATTGACTCTTGTAACTCTTTTTTTGAAAACAGATTAAGTATAAAAACATGTAGAGACCTCCTTCCTTTCCAGAATATTATTGAAAACTAATAGACCATCTGAGCCTGCAGTATCATAAAGTCTGTATCCTTTTTTTTTTTTTTTCACATACCTTCAGATTCATCTCCAGCAGCTCTCCATCTGTTTGCAGGCTGTTTTCTAAACCAGTGTGATGCCTCAGGTGCAGAAGAGAGAGACAATAATTAACAATGTGGCCTGCAGCATCTTGGGGAACAATTAATTTTAGTGAATGGACAAGGGGAGGAAGTGGGAAGGTAAGTTTTGCTTATTTGTCTGCTCATGCATTCACAGCTGGCCATATTGGATAGATGCACATATAGATATGTATATGCCTCTCCCAAAAAGACCATTTTCAGCGTTCCAACTTTCACTCTTTCGCAATGGCTGTTGTGCACAGAAGCTACTTGAAAATGACAGTGCCATCTGCACTGAGGAGATTAGGGGGTGTCAAGGAATACTCTTTTTCACTTCTCTCATTCCTGCTTCTCTTCATCCTGTCCCTGGAAAAATCCCAGCTTTTAACCTGTCAAAATAGTTTTAAAGCTGGTCTCTGATGTATAGAAACCTGTGAGACAGAACCATGACAGCTATGTACTGTCAAAGGAGTATGACTGCTCAAAAAAAAGAAAATCCAATACGGCTGAATAAAAGAACAGGGAAATGTAGGAGTCTGCAGTAGCATGTGGGGTAGTTCTTTCATGCATATGAAAGATACATTGATCAGGGAATACTAAATTTATATATAGAAGACCATTTGAGTGGTTTATACTTAGAGAGATTATAATGTGTATGCACAGAACTGAAAATTAAAGATCTGCACATCTACAGAGAGGTTAAAAAATGAAAACCATACGATGAATTAGGATTTTTTTCCTGCAGCTGTAGGTTCCGAAATTAGAAAGCTGAATCCATTTATAAGCTCTGAAATGCAAGTGGCCTCATTTCCCATGTGTCGAGCAGCCACTGCATCTGCCTGTTTCTGTTATTAACACTGGCTCCATTTCTGAAAAACAGCTGTCAGGAAGGAGATCCTACAGGATCTCCTCTGATGTGTCTAGCTGGCAAATAACCACATCCAACTGCAGGACCTATGTGCCACGTGAGTACAGCTGGAGATATGGGGAAGTGCTGCTGAGCTTTCTGATTGTATAATCTCCAGGTAGGAATCCAGCAAAGATGCTGAGGGAGGAACCCCACCACACTTGACTCCTTTACTCCTTTTTCACATCCCTCTGTCCCTTCCTCTTCACACACTGGTGCACATGCTGAATGCAGAGACTATTTGAAGCAGCAGAAAAAAGTTGCTGTGTGATTTTTGAGAATGAGATATCACAGATGTGACTGCTTGCCTGTGTGGATCAGGTAAAAATGAGGTATTTCAAGATTGGTTAATCTCACAAGTACATGGTCAGATTTGGAAAATGGCTGTACTAATAACAGGCACCTGAAAGCTTAATCATGAGCCTAAATAAGGTGGTTTCTAAATGTTTGACTTTATTCCAGAATTTTGTAATTTCACAAGTGTGTGTGCAGTAGAGAGAAAACAATGTGCCCCACTGGAAAGCTAGCAGTACATTCATCCCTTCAGAGAACAAGCTCATTTGCCCTTTCCGTTTTATGTCTGCTTATTCAAACAATTAAGTAAACTTAAAAATAAAAAGCATCTCCTCTGAGCCATTCTCATATGTTTTCAGGCAGTAACATAAATAAGGATCAGTAATCTAATGTAGAACTGATTTGAGCATGTTTGCATGTTATTAGGAAGCTAAGAGGTTTACTCATGCCTTTGGCTCTGTATGTATGTAGAAACAGTTGCATGAGGAGGCTGCTGTTGCTGACTGCTCCTTGTGCAAAAAGAACCCCCAAACTTGGGCATTTTTCTCTTCCAAATGTCCAGGCTCTGATAGCAGGGAAGTGTCATTCAGGATGTGAATGAAGGCTGTCATTTGTGCATCCAAGAAAGGACTGTAGAGTAAAGGTAGAAGTATTTTTTAATAAGGAAATTACATGCTGGGAAAGAATGTGAACTTCTCTGGAATGTGAGGAGCGGATAATGTTAATATCTGCATATCAACTTTGCCCTCTTGATTCACTTCATGCTGCATCAATTATACTGTAACTTTTCAAACTGCTGTCTCTAAGTAGCATTGTTAACTATAGCCAAAGGTTGGGAAAAGATTATCCTTTTAAAATTTGATTGCTTGCTCACCAGGAAAGCAACAGGAAGGGTGGAAAAAGGTATTACCAGGTCCTGTAAAAAAATAGAATCCCATCTATTTTCACTTCTAAATGAAATAAAATAAAAAAAAATTCTCATTTTTGACAATATAAAATACTGCAATGTGAAATATAATTTTGGTTGTAATGTATGCATTATATTGCACAGAAGTATAAATATGTATCATACAGAGGCTCTTTGCCAAAATGCACCATTTCACTCCCTTAAATGAGCTTACTCAAAACCAATTTTATATGGGGAAATTCATCTAAAATCTATAGATTCCCATGAATTTTCTCATACCACTCAAGTTGCTAACTGTAGTGAAAGATGTTCAAACATTTCCAACTTGTCATAAGTTCCACAGGGTCATTTTGGTATAAGACGTAGTTTTGCATGCCCTGGTTTGTATTGCTCCTTTTTTGCATTATGAATGGAAATGGGTTTATGACCTGAAAAAGAAAGGAATTGGTAGTGTAGGGAGCTCTTTCATAATGTAAAGAGTAGAGAATAGAGCAGACAAAGCAACTCCCAGTGTGTGAGCTTTGCACAGCTGTGACTGTGATTCAGTGATGTTTCTTTCAGTTCTTTCAGTTCTTGGTCAAATGGCTGCTGAACATAAAGGATGAGATGCTCTTAACTCATACTTTTAAAAGACTAGTTAGCAAAGCAAGTATCTTTCTCTTTCCTATCACTGAGGATAATTTTGCTGCCTAGAAGAATATCAGTCTTCCATGATCCAGGAAAACCTTCCTCAGAGTTAAACATTCACTTGTATGATTATAAGCAGATGAGACTCTGACCGTCTGATATTAAAAATAACAAAAAAGGAGCTGTATACATTACAGTAGTGAGTAAAGGGTGAGAAGGAAGAAAAGGTACAGTGGGAGTGACACCCTCAAAAGATATACTAGGGAAAAAATCCTTACAGGGAAAAACTTGCCATCATTAGTAATCAAAGAAGAAACTAATGTAAGGAAAACAGTACAAAGGTAGCTGTTGAAAATTGAGCATTTGGATATAGGGGAGAGTAACATGAAAAGAATTGTCCCAGGCACAAATTCCATAGGTAGAAAGCACAGTTATAGTCTCTACCCTCCCTGAGTGGCTACTATCTACCTAAACAAGGATCTGATGCCAGGACAAGGATTCTCCTGCTGAGAGGTAAGACTTGGGTGAATCTGTTTTCAGATGTCTCTGCCTGTGCTTCAAAGACAGAACAGAAAAAAATACCAAACTAAATCAAAAACAATGACAACAAAAAACAGATGGAAGAAGAAATTCTCATGAAAAATCATTATATAATTTATAATTTCATTATTGAAATTATATGAGACCGAGGAATTCCCAGACTGTTTGGTCCTGCAATAACAAGGCATAGAAGAAGGAATAGTCTTGTAGCAGTACTGGAAATGTTCATAATATTCATATTTTGAATATTCCTTGTTGAAATAGTCTTGGTTTCAGAGAGAACTGGTTCCTTAGTCCTGTGTAATGATGAACCTGGCCTACAGCAGTAAGAAAGGAGGCAATTGAATGAATTATAAAACGGAATTCAAAGTACACTAGTAATAAACATGGGTTTTTTCAGTGCTTGTGTCTTTCCTGCTGCTGGCATTCCATGATGATATGGTAAAGCTACCATGTATCTAGCAAAAATTTAAGAAGAATATTAATAAGATGACAAATTCTTCTCCTGCCTATTTACTGTCAATGATAGACCTTTTCTTTTGTACCTCTGCCTAAGAATGGCCTATAGTTACTGTATTCCCTGTTTCCTGACCTATAGTGGTTCCTTAGCCATGCTATGCATATTTTATCTCATTTAATCCTTCCTTTGAAGTCATTCCCTCCAGCTCTTTGTCATTTGCCTTGCTTTTGTCTGGATCCCTTCCAATTCATCCTGGCATGAAGGTAGCCAGATGGACAGTGTTTGGGGTGTGCTTTCAAGAATATGCCATCAGGAAGGATTGCCCAAGCCCTGCCATCTCCCAGGAGGACTTGGTAAACCCATGGGATCTCCACTGGCACCCTGGTGCCTTCCTGCTCCTAAATGCTGTATTACAGACTGCACACAGTGGAGCACCTAATAAAAGAGCTGCAAATTGCACTGGCTGTTAGTTCAGGCTTATTTTTTTGTTGTTAGTGCATGCTGCAATCCCAGATCTGACCCTTCTTCCTATGTATGCTGCTCAGATCTTCTTCAGCCTTGCTACCTTTCTGTTCCCTTTCTCCCATGGAGTATCTGTCCTGCAGTGTATGATTCATCAGATTTGCTCTTCTGCATTTTTCCAGTTTGGATCTCCTTCAGTGTTTCTAGACAATATCATAAGGCTCCTTAGTGCACTAAGGTATTTGTGTTTCTCCTCTGTGGGCTCCTCCCATGAACTAGGAAATTGGTTATCATCTGGATTTTATGACATCAAATCACATGATGCCCACATTACAAACAGCAGATTTTGGCTCAGTGTGCTGCTTTTTTTGAATTTTCTAAGTCTCTCTCCAGAGCCTTAGTCAAAAAGAAAGGCCATGTGGATTCTCAATGTGTTTCCCTGCTATGCTCCTCATTTGGAACTCAGATTAACTAACAATTCTTTCTAGTACTTGTTGACCTCCAGTGATGCTTGAAAAATGGGTTCTGCACCCTTGAATGTGAGAATATAAATACTGGAAGTCTCTTAGGTTGGTTTTTAAAATAGGAGATTGCTGTCCCATCCTCAAGGAAAAAATATTGTTATTCTTTGTAAAACTAACACACACTCCCTTCATTTTCGCAAATATGAAAATAGTGGAAATACCATGTCAGGTGTCTCAGTGTAGTATTGCAGGTAGATAAAGCACAGTACCCTGAGTATGTCCAAACCAATTAATGTAAGAATATTTCAAAATGTTTCAAAAGCTTGATTAAAATATTTTTTTTGTATTTATATCCTGTTCCATTGATCATGTAGCTCACAGTTCTGCCAAGAAAAGCTACTAAGATGATATGCATTATTTATTCATTAATATTTCATGATTCATACAATGTATAAATCT